TGTTGATAGATGCATGTTTGTTGTTCACAATTTGTATCTTTACCTTTTTCTTCTTCCTCCTCTTAAAGGATACCTTTCAGCATTTCGTATAATACTGGTTTAGTGGTGATGAACTCCTTTAGCTTTTCCTTATCTGTGAAGCTCTTTATCTGACCTTCAATTCTGAATGATAGCTTTGCTGGATAAAGTATTCTTGGTTGTAGGTTCTTGGTATTCAGCACTTTGAATATTTCTTGCCATTCCCTTCTGGCCTGCAAAGTTTCTGTTGAGAAATCAGCTGACAGTCGTATGGGTATTCCCTTGTAGGTAATTGCGACTCTTTCTCTTGCTGCTTTTAAGATTCTCTCTTTGTCTTTTGCTCTTGGCATTTTAATTATGATGTGTCTTGGTGTGGTCCTCTTTGGATTCCTTTTGTTTGGGGTTCTCTGCGCTTCTTGGACCTGAAAATCCATTTCTTTCACCAGGTGGGGGAAGTTTTCTGCCATTATTTCTTCAAATAGGTTTTCAATTTCTTGCTCTCTCTCATCTTCTGGCACCCCTATTATTCTGATGTTGGTACGCTTGAAGCTGTCCCAGAGGCTCCTTACACTATCTTCGTATTTTCGGATTCTTTTTTCATTTTGCTTTTCCGGTTGGGTGTTTTTTGCTTCTTCGCATTTCAGATCTTTGGCTTGATTCTTGCGCTCCTCTGGTCTGCTATTGGGTGTAATATTCTTTATTTCAGACCGTGTATGCTTAATTTCTAGTTGTTTCTTTATCATAGCATCGAGGGTCTCATTAGTTTTCGTGAGGCTCTCCAGAAGTTTATTGCAAGCCCTCAAAATTGCGTTTTTTAGCTCTATATCCTCCATTTCTGTCATGTTTTTTTGTCTCCGCATTTTTTATGCTTTCTTGGTGCACCCCCTAGTGGTCTTTGTGCGCAGTCTTGTTCTAGTTGAGCCTTGATTGTTGTAGTTAATACTAGAGGGATTTGACCACCAGGCCGACTGGCTGTGTGAATCAGCTGTGTCTGCCGCGGAAAACTTCTGTCCTCTGGGGAGGGGCTAATCTAGCCTTTGCCTGAGGCGATCCGGCAAATGGCTCTGCGCAGGGCTTGGGCGGGGCGGGCTCAACAGGGCGGGCGGAGGGAGCGGTTATGGTGCCCTCAGTCCTGTTCCCAGAGGCTCTGCTTCTCAGAACCCCAGGAACCGCTGCAAACCTTGGAGAGAAAGCTGCCTTCCAACTGATGCCAGACACTCCCGCTTCTCCCGTTTGAGTCCGAGTCCCCAGCGATTCGCCCGTATCTGGAGCTCAGAGTCTGAGACTCCCCCCTGACCGAAAACGACAACCGCGCTCTCAGCCACCAGCCCGCTTTGCGCGCGCACCTCCGCACCTGAGTATTTTCCACACTGCGCCTCCTCTGAGCCTCGGTGTGCTGTTATTTTTCCTTCTAGTTGAAGAGTCTCTCCTCAGCCAGCCTTCCTGTGGTTCTGGGTGATGTCCGTTCCGTCTTTTAGTTGTATTTTTGAAGTGGTTGTTTGCGGCAGCAGTCTGCGGGGTTTACCTATGCCGCCATCTTGGTCTCTCCCCCTGATAACTTCTTCGGGCTGTTGGCCCTGGGGTTGGGGCCAGCGAAGGGTCCTGGGGTAGAGGCCAAGGGTAGGGTCTCTTATGACCCGAGTAGCTTTAACTTTTCTCAAAACCACTGCAGACTGTGGTTGCAGTGTGACTCTCGGGCCCAGGAGGGACGGAGCGATGGTCCCGGGACAGGTGAGACCTTGGGCACGAGGTGTTGGAACTGTCGAGTCACCTGGCAGAGCGTGGACAGACCCAGGCCTTCTCCTGCCTTGGACTCGTTCCTGTGGCCTCCTTTGCTAGTCAGTGTCGATCGCTCACAGAACCCAGCCCTGCCCGGGCTCTGCCCACAGTGCTGTCAGCAGAGAGAGTGGTGCCCTGGGCCCAGCTGCCCGCACGCCCATGGCAGAGGGCGGGTACCCAGGCACACAGCCCTGCCCTGGCCTCTGCTGGGGGCAGGGGACCTCTGGGAGGGGACATTGGGCCATCTTGGGTCACAAGGAGGAGCCAGCCCTGGGAGGCTCGGGGGGTGGGGGGGGGCGGGGAACAGCAGGCCCTGCGCACTAAGGCCCCTGAAATCATGTGCCTGGCCCTGCCAAGGCCTTAGGGTGAGTCTGACCAAATACAGCAGGCTAAATTTTTTTAAATATATTTTTATTGATTTCAGAGAGGAAGAGGGAGGGAGAGAGAGAGAGAAACATCAATGATGAGAGAGAATCATGGATCGGCTGCCTCCTGCATGCCCCACACTGGGGATCAAGCCTGCAACCTGGACGTGTGCCCTGTCCAGGAACCAAACCGTGACCTCCTGGTTCATAGGTCATCATTCAACCACTGAGCCCTGCTGGCTGGGCTGGCAGGCTAATTTTTGAGGGCTAAATTTTGTATGGCCCTCCAGTGATGTTACAAATATCCCAGTGGCCCTTGGCAGAAAGAAGGCTCCCCACTCCTGCTCTAGGAGGAGGGAGGCCAGGCAGAGGGAGCCACCTGACAGGCTGGGGGTGGAGAGCGAGGGTGTGAGGACAGCCAGGAGGCCGGTGTGGCTGGACCAGAGCCCTGAGCAGAGGACAAATGGGATCTGACTCGGCTTCCCTGGTGGATGCAGAGGTGCCCACGGAGATGTGAGTAGCAGTGGCCAGAGTCTAAGCATGTTTTGAAAGTTGTACCCATGGACTTGTCTCAGGATCAGCTCAGAGTCTGAGAGAAAGACAAGGCAAGGAGGTCCCCCGGATCTTGACCTGAGCCACAGGGGTTCGCCATTTTCTGGGGCTCTCCAGGTGGTTTGAGGGAAGAGGAGGGACACTCTGGCCATGTTGGGTGTGGGTAGTTGGGACTCTAAGACACAGTTGCCAGGCCACAGACCAGGGGCTCTGGGACTGCCCCCAGCACGGTGTGGCCCAGCCCGTGTGGAGGGGCCTCCGTAGCGCACGCTTCCCTCCTGCTCAGCTGTGCCCCCGGCGCTCGTTTCTCTTTCAGGCAGAAGAGCTTCCGCCCGTCTCCAGCCAAGTCCATGCATCACGAGTGTGACTGCCTCAGAGCCTCAGTGCCCCATCTGTAAGCAGGGCTCTGAGAGTCCTGCCCGTCTCTAAGGGTTTCATGAGGATTCCTGTGTGCAAGGAGCTGAGCACGGGCCTGTCTCCTGCCAGGCCTCGCCCGTGAGCTGCAGCGGTGGCACCTGCTGTCTCTGAAGACGCAGGCCCAGGCTCGGGGCGGGGCCACGGGTCAGCCTCAAACCCCTAGAGCAGTGACAGCGAACCTTGTGAGCTCGGCGTGTCAGCATTTTGAAGAACCCTAACTTCACTCTGGTGCCGCGTCACATATAGAAATTTTTTGATATTTGCAACCATAGTCAAACAAAGACTTATATTTTTGATATTTATTTTATATATTTAAATGCCATTTAACAAAGAAAAATCA